CTCTCTAGACATCTTCTGCCCATCCCCACCCTCTTTTCAGATCTTTTTTATATATTGTCTTTCCCTATTAGAATGTAAGCACTCCAAGGGCAGCTAGGTAGAGCAGTGGATAGAGCTCTAGCCTTGGAGTCAGGAGGACCTGAGTTCAAATTCGGCCTCAGACACTTGACACTTATTAGCTGTGTGACCCTGGGCAATTCACTTAATCCCATTGCCTAGGAAAAAACAAAAACAAACAAAAAAGAATGCAAGGCACTTCAGGCATTGTTTTTCTTTTTACTTGTATTTATATTTCCAGCACTTAGCACAATGCTTGCCACATAGTAAACACTCAATAAGTCTTGCTATTTACATGTTGACTTCCATTAAAGGGATGACTCACTACTTCTCAAAGTACCTCGTTCTGCTATTGGACAGATCTCACTGCCAAGTTCTTCCTACTGAGCTAAAATCTGTCCCTCCCCGTAACTTCCCTCTTTGGTCCTAGTTCTGCCCTCTGAGGCTAAGCAGAACAAATCTGATCTTTCTTGCACCTGATAGATCAGAGATCTGATGATGGCTATCATGTCTTCTCTAAGTCTTCTCCTAGCTAAACATCTCCAGTTCCTTCAACTATTGGATTGATCAAAGAGCAAGAAGAGACAGAAAGATCCCATCAGTGCTCTCCAAATAGATTGAAGATACTCTTGGGATTTGTGTTATGTCAGAATAAAAAGTAGAACATGTGGGTGCAGGCGGCTATTTTACTTTAATGAACTAATTAATTTTTTAGTTTTCAACATTCACTTTTATAAGGTTTTGAGTTCCAAATTTTTTCTCCCTCCCTCCCTTCCCCCTCCCCAAGATGGCAAGCAATCTGATATAGGTTATACATGTATAATCACATTAAACATATTTCCACATTAGTCGTGTTGAGAAAAAAGAATCAGAACAAAAGGGGGAAAAAAACCATGAGAAAGAAAAAAAAACAACAACAAAGGGAAAATAATATGCTTTGCTCTGCATTCAGACTCCACAGTTCTTTCTCTGGATGTGGATAGCATTTTCCATCATGAGTCTTTTGGAACTGTCTTACATCATTGTACTGCTGAGAAGAGCTAAGTCTATCAAAGTCAGTCATCACACAATGTTGCTGTTACTCTGTACAATGTTCTCCTGTTTCTACTCACTTCACTCAGCATCAGTTCATGTAAGTCTTTCCAGGTTTTTCTGAAATCTGACAGGCAGCTATTTTAAAATAGAATTGATGAAAGAATCTACCAATCACCTCCTGAAAGAGATACCCAAAAGAAAACTGCTAGGAATATTGTATCCAAATTCCAGAATTCCCACGTCAAGGAGAAAATATTGCAGGCAGCCGGAAAGAAACAATTCAAGTATTGTGGAAACACAATCAGGATAACACAAGATTTAGCAGCTCCTACATTAAGTGACCAGAGGGCACGGAGTATGATATTCCAGAGGGCAAAGGAGATAGGATTACAACCAAGAATCGCCTACCCAGCAAAACTGAGTATAATTCTTCAGGGTAAAAAAATGGTCATTCAGTGAAATAGGGAAATGAGGGAAAGACCAGAGCTGAATGGAAAATTTTACTTTCAAATACAAGGCTCAAGTGAAACATGGAAGAGGTAAATGGGAAAGAGAAATCATAAGAACCTTTTTAAGGTTGAACTGTTTACATTGCTGCAGGGAAAGATGATATTTGTAACTCATGAGTTCTTTGTCAGTAGTAGGGTAGTGGGAGGGAAAAAATTCTATGTATGGATAGATAGATAGATAGATAGATAGATAGATAGATAGATAGATAGATAGATAGATGGCATAGGGTGAGTTGAAGATGAAGGAGTGATATCTGGAAAATAAAATTAAGGGGTGAGAGAGGATTATACTGAGAGAAGGAGAAAGGGAGAGTAGAATGGGGTAAATTATCTCACATGAAACAGACAAGAAAAGGCTTTTACAGTGGAGGGGAAATGGGGGAAGGTGAGAGGGAATGAGTGAATCTTATTCTCATAGGATTTGGCTTAAGGAGGGAATAACATACACAATGGAGTATGGAAATCCATCTTGCCCTACAGGAAAATAAGAGTGGAAGTGAACAAGACAGCAGGGAGTTGATAGAGGGGAGGGCAGAGTAGGGGAGGGGATAATCAGAAGCAAACGCTTCTGAGGAGGGACAGGGTCAAAAGAGAGAATAGAATAAATGGGGGGTAGGTTGGAATGAAGGGAAATATACTTAGTTTTTCACAACAGGACTACTGTGGAAGTGTTTTGCATATCTACACATCTATAACCTATATTGAGATGCTTGCCTTTTCACTGAGGGTGGGTGGGGAAGGAGGGAGGGAGAAAATTTGTAACCCAAAGTTTTAAAAACATATGTTAAAAAAAGAAAAGGAGCCCTAACTTACCTGCAAAAAACACACACAAAAAACCAAACCCTGAATTGAAATATGCACGTTACATGATGAAAAGTTTGAACATGATAAGAACAAGAAATACAAGAATGAAGGAAAAGGAATATAAGGTAATATCCTTCTTCCTTAGAAAATGATGGTTTGGGCTTGATTTTGATTATAGCCAATTACTGGCCAGATTATACTTGGCAATAATTTTAAGCATATTGCTTCAGCCCAGTTAGGTAAAATGGGTTTGAATGCCAGATCTTCCACCTTGTGATCTTCTATCTCTCTATCTCTCTGTTCATTCATTCATTTATTTATTGAGGCAATTGGGGTTAAGTGACTTGCCCAGGGTCACATGGCTAGTAAGTATCTGACACCAGATTTGAACTCAGTTGCTTCTGATTCCAGGGCCAGTGCTCTGTCCACTACCACCATGTGACCCTGAGTAAGTCTCTCTCTGTCTCTGTCTCTCTCTTTCTCTCTCTCTCTCCCAGTTGCCCTTGGTACTGGAGTGGTTGTCAGAGGATCTGGGTTTGAGTATGTCTCTGCTACTTATTACCAGTGTGACCTTAGGCAGGTCCCCAACTTCTATGGGCTAAGTTTCCTTCTGGCTCTAAATCTATGATCTTATTATCCTTCCAGATCTAAAATCTTTTAATGTTTTGTTTGTGGTTGGCTAATTCTTCCTTAAGAAGTATCCCCTACTACATCACAGATTATTTCTCTTCCATATAAGGATAGTTGTGTACTATTGGGAGAGGGGGATAGGGATCTAAAAATCTAGGGCTCCTACTTTCTATTTTTTTCTTTCTTTTTCTTTTTCTTTTTGGCTGGGCAATGGGGTTAAGTGACTTGCCCAAGGTCACAGAGCTAGTAAGTGTTATTTGTCTGAGGCCAGATTCGAACTCAGGTCCTCCTGAATCCAGAGCCGTGAGCTATCCACTGCACCTCCTTGCTGCCCCTATTTTTTTTTTCTAAATGATTTGGGCAACCTCTGAGCTCTCTGTATTTCAGTTTCCCCAGTAGCATGTAAAGCAAAGGCTTATATCATGAATTGATAGCATCAGTCTCAGGCTTTTCTCCTGAATGTGATCATAGAATCACAGGGCCTTAGAGATCATCTAGTCCAATGCCCTCATATTACAGATTAGGAAACTGAGTCCCAGAAGGAGAAAGGGACTTGCTCGAAGAAAGGTAATAAGCTTGGTAAACAACCCTCACAGAATCTTTGTTGCCTGTTAGGCACCAAGAAGAATTCAGGAAGGCAGAAGCCTGGGCCATGGTCTCATTCAGTTGCTTACAACTGAATTCCAGTCATGTTTGGGCCAACACTAAGCCTTCCAGGACAGTTTCTCAACAGAAATCCCAAGAGGCTGATGAGAGTTTAACTTGCCCCACTCCTTCACTGGTAACCAAGATAAGAAGCTATGAAGTAGCAAGATAGGAGGGAATGGGGCTGTCCATTTACCATTCACACCTGAGCCAACATGGACTAGATAACTGAGAATGTGTTGTATTCACAAGACCTTTGAAGCAGGTCCAGAGAAAGAGACTTCAGCACTCTGGCTGGGGTAGCTAAGGGGAATGAGCCAAATCCAGGGGATGTTTTGCTCTGATCCCATGACTCTGGGCTGCTTTAAAAACTCCCCACCAGGGAACACTGGCTGATGCTGAGAGTGTTGACCTAGGATAGGAGAAAGCAAATTCATCACAGACTTACAGGATGATAGAATGTTAGAGCTGGGAGGGACCTTGTAACATAATATGTTAGAGCTACAGGGAATCTTAGAATATTGGACATAAAATGCCAGTGCTGGACGGGACCTTATGATATAGAGTATCAGAGCTGGAAGGGGTCTGATGCTTTTTCTCAGGTTCTCCGCCACGCCTGGAATGCTTTCACTCTTCACCCCTATCTTTTGCAAGCTTCTAATTCCCTTCAAGGCTTAGTTCAACTACCATCTCCTGAAGGAAGTTCACCTGTCCTGATTCCGCTGTCCCAGTTGTTAATCTGCTGGCCTTCCCCACTCCCTCACCATATCACACTGTATTTATTCAGTATACATTTTGTATTTGCTTTTCTGTGTACCTGTTCATCTAAAACAGTGCTAGGCAGTTGCTCTGTTCTTCAGTCATTTCAGTCATATCCTACTCTTCATGACTCCATTTGGGGTTTTCTCGGCAAAGTTACTGGAGTGGTTTTGCCATTTCCTTTGCTAGCCCTAATAAATGTTGGTTGAATGAATGAATTGAATAGAAGAGATAGAAGATACCTTGGAAATCTTTGAATTCCTATTCCCCCATTTTACAGATGGGGAGACTAAGATGCATTGAATAGCTTTTCCCATGGTCCCACTGTGATTTTTCAAAAAATCGTTTTGCATGTTAATATATAGTTTCTCTCTGAAGTAAAATGAGATGTCCCTGCCTTAGGTGTTTCTGACAGCCTAGGGAGGGGGTGATCCTGTGGGCTTTCAAATGCCCAGATAGGAAAAGCAGACTTCCCTAGGGAGGGGTTGCTGGCTTGAAGGGTGGAGAGTAGCTGGAGACAGCTGCTAGCTGGCAGCTTTTAGTCTCAGGGCTCCAGTCATCCCAGCTCCAGACTCCGCTCTGCCTTCTCAATGGGTTATGCGGCCTCACCTTGAGGTGAATGAAAATGTCAGCCGGAATGTGGGGAGGAAAGAATGCTGAGCCCCGTCCAAACCTACTCGTGTTTGTGTTTCACTCTATGAGTGACATCAGAGCCCTTGGAGTATAAGACCCACAGGACTGGACTGGAGCCACGGCGGGCTGCGGCACACACACACACACACACACACACACACACACACACACACACACACAAAACACACTCTGCTGCCTTGCCTTCCAGCTGCGAGGGGAGTGCTATGGTGAAGCCAGAGAGCCGGGAGCAGCATGAGGACTCCACGGGAGATGCCACTGCTCGCACTCTCTCTCCTCTGCCTCCTGTTTGAGGTAAGGGAATTGCCACACCTCACTGTAGCCAAGCTCTCTCGTTTGAGAGTTAAAAAAGAGGGGCAAAGACTTACCACATCTGCTTCTCTCCACATCCCCCCGTCACCCCGAGCCCCACAAAGCTGCCTGCCTCTGCATGCCCTCAGTTCTGTCTCCATCCCTGAGCTCTGGCTCTGCCCTTTCACCCTGAGGTCTGGGGAATAAGAATGATGCCTTCCTCCCCAACATCTCCGAGAGAGCCAATGAATGGCTGGGCTTGGTAGCACACCAGTGGTAAGGCTGCCCTCGGGACTCCCTGCGCTGCCTTCTAGGAGGAGCGAGGTGTCAGGAGGCAGGCAGGGAATTTCAGCGCTGCTCCTGAAAATCATGGCACATTCATGAAGGCAGCCGAGAGTAGATCTGGACCAGCCTGGGCTGGGTAGTACTGCGTGGGCGCTGACTTCGGGCTGCCGACTCCTCAGAGCTGCCATCGCTCTGTCCCTCCGGAATTCCTCGGCTCCTCGTTCCTGGCATCTCCCGAGTTTGACACACTACAAGCCCATGATATCACTGCAATTTCATGCTCGTTGGAAACCTGACCCACTCACTTTACTTTTCAGGCTGTAGGAATCTAAGGCAAAAACCACTCTTGAGTGCCCTGTACTTCTGAATGGTGCCCAGGGCTCATCTCATAAGCGGGTGGATGGCTTCAGACTGCAGTGATTGACCTTGCCTCCCCACCCCATCCCTCTCCTCTTTCTCTCTCTCTGTCTTCTGCTTTCTTTTCCTTCCTTCCCTTCTTCTTTCCTTCTTTGCTTCTTTCTTCTTTCCTTCCCTCCCTCCTTCCTTTCTTTCTTCTCCTTTTCTCTCCTCTCTCTTTCTCTCTCCTCTCTCCCTCCTTCCAGCCATTAATTTATTTTATCTTCTTATCTTTTTCTTCCTTCCTTCCTTCCTTCCTTCCTTCCTTCCTTCCTTCCTTCCTTCCTTTCTTTCTATCTCATGCAATGAAAAGACAGGGAGACCAGAGGCAGGAGGGCTAAGAGTCCCCTTTTCCTATGCATTTCCTTATCTTGTTGCTTCTTGGTCACTTGCCTCTAGAAAGAAGCAATTAAAGAATCCTGTTGGGGACAGGGCACATCAGTTCCAAACATACTGGAGGCCGGGAGAGAAACTGATGGCCAGGGAAGCCTGCTTAGGAGGGGGAGGGTAGGTGGTAGGGAAGGACTGGGATCCACCACAGGAAGAAAATTTCTAGGGTGAAAAAGAGGAATCAGGAAGATTAAAATGAAAAACAGCAACCAGAAAAAAAAATCCTCTACCCCTGCACTACCCCCGCCCCCATCACTTCTCCCTCTCCCAGGAATCTGGCTAGAAGCCCATACTGTGAGCAAAGGATTTAGTCATCACGAACATTTAAAACCACAACAATCTTCTGAGAGAAAAATTAGATTCTTTCAGACAGGTTGTGGACTCCTAAATTGGGGGCAGGGGAAAAGGGTATAGGGAAGGGTGGGGAAGTGAGAGGCCTGGGTCCAGAAGGACTGAGTCTAGGGGGAGGAAAAAGGTCATAAGCTCTTGGATAGCCTTGATCATAGGATCAATGATTTAGAGCTGGAAGAGACCTTGGAGGCCACTGAGTCCACCCTTCTTGTTTTACATGTAAGGAACCTTAGGCACAGAGAGATTAAGTGTTGCAGCTGGAAGGGTTTTGGTTTTTTTTTTTTGATAGTTACAGATAAGTAAAGTAAGGTCCAGAGAGTAGAAGTAGCTTGCTCAAGGTCACACAGCTATTAAATGCTTAAGGTCTGCATGTACAGGTTATTCTACCCCTAAGCTCATGTTCTGTTCCTTTTCTTTTCTTCTGTTCCTTCCTTTTTTTTCTTTTCCAAATTCTATCTATTCTGGAAGTCAAAAGACTTAAATCTGAGTCCCAGTTTTGCTCGTAGGACTTATAGCTCATCAAAGGATATTGAAGTACACAGAGAGAGGAATGACTTGTCTAAGATCATACCTTTTGAGGTCCTACACAGAGCTGAGGTTCAGACCTAGGTCTTCGGACTCTAAATTCAATGCTCCTTTCACATGTGGCATCAGGCTGCCTTAGGGAAGATCACAAGATCATAGATTAGAGATCATTTAGTCCATTTTACAGATGAGGAGACTGATGCTTGGAGAGCTGAACATGTAACTTGTCCACGATTACACTGGGAGGGATTTGAACCTAGATTCTCTAAATTCACCCTGTCTTCCACTATACCAGGATTCTTCCAGAAGGGAATGGAGCCATTTCCAATCATTAGCCTTATGAGGAATTTAGCTCAGCATGAGGACGGGGGTGGAGCAGGTCTCTGGGACTTCATTAGTCTAAAATGGCGTACCCTGGTGAGACACTGGAGAGAGCTGAAGTTCTGAAAAGACAAGAGATTTTGAAAAACAAAGGGTAAAACTTTCAGGTACGTAATAGACATTCCCTATTCTAGAAAGAATAAAAGGATTGAATAGCTCAATTGCTTATGGGGAGGCCAGCAAAACTATGAACTTGTCTATAGGGTGCAGAATACAGTCCTACCTTTGTCCAAGCCTTCTATATGTATATGTATATGTATATGTATATGTATATGTATATGTATATGTATATGTATATGTATATGTATATGTATATGTATATGTATATGTATATGTATATGTATATGTATATGTATATGTGTATGTGTATGTGTATGTGTATGTGCATGTGCATGTATATATGTATACAATACATATATATATACACATATATGTATATATAGATACAGTATGTATAATATATGTGTATATGCATAAGTGTATGTATATGTATATGTATGTATATAGGATTCCCAAAGGAGTATGGGAGGTGGAACTGACTGAATGGACATATCACCTGAATGCTACACACAATGACTTCCTTAGGGAAGGAGCTTTGGAGCAAGAAAGGAGAGAAAAGCCCAGACTTTCCTTATCTCCTGCCTGGAGGTGACAAATGGCCTCAGAGTTGAAGCTGCAGCTCTGAGAGTCAGACTTCTATTGAGCTTGCTGCCCTAGAAAGAGCTGGGTAGTACTTCAGTTGAAAAGAAGGCAGTAAGGAGCACCCTGCCAAGTCAGTAGCTGCCCATCAGTTAATGAGCTGCTGTACTGTGAGTGGCTGAGCAACCTGTCCATCCCATCCTGACAGCAGCTGCCCAGAACAGCCACTGACCAATGGCGTAGATGCGTTACTGATTTGTCATCACTGAAGGCGTTCAGCCAGAAGCTGGGTGACCACTTTAGGGGAGGGTTGTAGAAGGATTCCATTGTAGTTATAGGTTGGACCAGATGCCCTTAAGTACCTTCTAGCTCCAGGATTCTGAGTTCCTAGGAACTGCATTAAGTATTGTAGATAATTATCAGAACAATGACTTAGCATTTTCCCATCTAGGGTAAATACCAGGAGATAAACCTTCTGTTGAGGACGTATGTATGAATACGTGCATGTATGTATGGGGAGGAGGGAGATTTTGCCTCCTACACTGGAAACATGGCTCCTAGGACCCCATCAGGAACCTGCTACTGGGTGGGAGGCAGCATGGAGAAGGTGCTCACCTGAGTCCAACATCTGATAGATTTTAACCGGTCATACTTGCTAATAAGGTGCTAAGCTCTGTTGTTTATATAATGCTGAAGGACTGTGGTAAATTGGGAAAGAGTGCTGGATTTGGAGTCAGAAACCCTGGGCTTGAATCCCAGCTCTACCACTTACTCTCTGTATGAACTTGTGAACCTCATCTGTAAAATGAAGAAGATGGGCTAATAATATTGGCTAATACTTATATAGTGCTTTAAGGTTTACAAAAAGATGTTTTGTTTGAAGTAGGTTATTATCTCCATTTAGTGGATGAGGAAACTGAGGCACAGAGGTTAAATGACTTGCCTAGGTAACACAAGTGTTGTAGGAAGCATTCAAACTCAGGTTTTCCTCAACTCCAAGTCTCAGACTATTGCCTAATTTAGTACTGGGCCATTGGTGTTTTTTGTTATGTCTAGATATGCTTTATGTCAATCATTCGTAGAAGTCAGACTGATACAGAAAAAAGAGACCTGGGCTAAGAGTCAGAAGACTTAGCTAATTGTAGATAATCAATTAATAGATAAATTATATAATTTTAAAAATTAAATAAAATTTAAAGATAAATAAATCAACAATTGTAAACCTAGCTCCTTATAGATAGACTGTGAGGTTTTTCTTCTTTGAATTTCCAATTTTTTGAACATAATAAGTGACTCTGTAACCATGTAAGATTTTACAGATCAATTTCCCAACTCCTACTCCAACTGACAAATTCAGTTGTTGGAAGGCTGCCTAGCTTTCTCCCTGAGGGTTCTAGAAGTACCCTTAAGACCTTATGAGGGTTTCCCTAAAGCCATCAATTTAAGCCTCCATTCCTGTGTGGTACCCATAGTATCAATCACCAGTGCTGCTTAATATATCAGTATCATAGGTACCACTGATTAACAACCCAACATTATATAACCAGTAACATTAATTAGCTTTTACAAAATAATATTTACTGAGAAGATATAACAAAATCAGAAATACAAACACATTTCCCTGACCAAGGGGACCTTCTTTCCTATACTACCTTAGTCCCTAGGGAGAATAGCCTCAGACTTAAAGTCTTTGCTACAAAGCATTTGCCCTATCAAGTTTACTTCTGAATGAAGCATAGAAAAGGATGAATGTCACTCCTTCACTTATGGAAACTGGTGTCTCTGCTACCAGTACTAAGTAACTACTGGGCCATGTGCCTACAGGTCATCATTTACTAGGCTCAGTGGGCTACCAGAAAATTTTGATGCATACCAGTTCCTGGACTGGATCTAGTTCTGCCTGGTCTGTTGTATCTCCATCACTCATCCACCTACAAGTAGAAAAAAACATTTACAAAGAGGCAAAGAGACAGAGGCACCACGTTCATACCCACATGTTTGCCCAGGTAGAGAGATAGGCAGCCATCCTTAGGAAGCCACTGCTTCCACTGTAACCACCTCCCTCCCCACCAGGAGGCTTACCACAATCTGACTGGGTCACTGCCAGGCAAGAGAGAGGTCAGTTTGACTGGTTAATGTTTTTGTTTGCACACCCAGCTCTGATTCAGTAACCAATTAGAGGCTCCACTTTGGCATACAGTAAGTGGTCAAAAACAGTCATAGAATACCTCTGCATGCTCCAAAGACCATGTGAAGGATTGCATCAGCCAGATCATGCTGGGCATGTTCACAAGGATTGGACTATTATTGGACAGTCATATGTTAAATTGACTTTAATTGAATCCTTGTTCTACCACTAAATAGCCCTATGTGACCTTGAATAAGTTACTTCCCCTCAATTTGTTCATAGATAAAATTATTGGGTTGGACTACATGGTCTCTAAGGTCTATTCCATTTCTAAATTCAATTCAATATCCTCATAAGGTAGCTGTCGATTATTTTCTAAATATATAGATGGCTCAGCTCGCATGTGGCATGGATAGAGATCTCATCTGAGATCTAGCCTGTCTTTCTCCAAAGGGGACTTCATTTTTTGTCTTTGTGGGGTGTAGGAGGAGAACTATGGCTAGGCTCTTGCTCCTTCCCTCACCTATCTCCAACAAGGCTATTGGGCTAGAATTGTGACTAACCACCATACCTCAAATAGTCTGAGGTTAGAATACTTTGTGGGCTTCGGGACGAATGCCACTTTCACTGAGTGCTCTTAAGGGGACAGTAATGCTTAGTTCACTCTTGCCAGCTTAGCTCCCTTCCACCAAATGTTGGCTGCACAAGAGATCATTATAAATAGCCAGTACACATCTTTATCAAAGTAAGCAGTAAATGGAAATTAGAGAAGTTATTCAGATTAAAATAGACCAAAGAAGGCACAAAAATAAAAGAGCTCCTCAGCTGAGAGTGAGATAAAATCTTAGCTGTCAAGGAGAGACAATACTCTCACCAAGGGGAATCTGCTCTAGTGTTGCAAATGCTGGAAGTCAAGGGACGTGTTGGGGGCCAGCTTCCCACATTGGCTTCTCCAAGGGAGGTCTCTATCTGCCACTCAAAAGTCTGAATTTACTTCTCTCTAAAACCTGTATCTTTGAAATTCTTTCTCCACTCACACAGGTACATAGCATTTCAGGTCAGTATTCTTTTGGCCAATTACGAATTACATCCCTTTGATTACCACCTTTCTACTGCTATGCTTCCCAAATACTTTCGTAGTTCTCATTTCATTTCGTCCTTACAACATTGGGAGGAAAGACAGGGCAGATTAGTCTCCCTATTTTATATAAGAGAAAACTGAGGCTAAAACAGAGAGAGACAGAGAGACAGAGAGAGACAGAGACAGAGAGGCAGAAACAGAGAGGCATTGACAGAGACACACACACACACACACATAGAGATAGAAACAGAGAGAGAGGCATTGACAGAAACACACACACACACACAGAGATAGAAACAGAGAGAGAGGCAGAGGTAGAGAGAGACAGAGACAGAAACAGACACACACACACAGAGGAGGACTTGATGAGGGTCTCGCAGACAGTCAGTGGCAGAACCAGGACCTAAATTTGGGTCATCTGATTTCTAATCCAGGACACTTTATACTAAAGCTATCTCAGGAGACTGTAGAAAGGGGAATTACCACCATTGATCAGTTTTCCTGATGCTCCTTTCCTGAAACCAAGTGACCAAGCTCTTTGTCTTTATAGGTGTGTGCCCAGCTATGCCGGATGCCATGTACCTGCCCCTGGTTACCCCCACGCTGCCCTCCTGGGGCACCCCTGGTCCTGGATGGCTGTGGCTGCTGCAGGGTGTGTGCTCGGAGGCTGGGAGAGCCCTGTGACCAACTCAACATCTGTGACCAGAGCCAGGGGCTGGTATGCAACTACAGTGCCACCCTGGGGGACAGGAGAGGCACCTGCAACTGTAAGCATGTCTGTGAGCCTAGAGGGGGTGAGGGTGGGAGACAGGCTAGGTATAAAGGATTGGCGGTCCCTCTAGGGCCAGTCCTCAACAAATGAACTTCCTTCCTCTGAGAGTAGAGGCACTGGGGACATTTGGAAGTTGTCCAGACTCCCTCTGATACAGCACAAACTGCCTTGGTCTTGGCCTTTGGAGTCATTTCCTGGGTAGTGTCTGGGCTAGGGTTGCCTGAACTGAAATCACAGGAGACAGAGGGAGATCTCAGCCAAAAAATCTTACGGCGTTAGACCTAGAAGGGTCCTAAGATCATAGGATATAGAATGATAGACCTGGATGAAAATTTAGAGATCATGTAGTTCAACTCCATCATCACATAAAGATAGAAAGTGAAGGAAACTGATCTGTCCATGTTCACACAGCCAAAAAGTGTCAGAGCCAAGATTCAAACCTAGCACTCTTCAACTCCAAGTTGTATGATTTCCTCATTAAACCAGGCTTCTGTTAGAAGCCTTCTTGAGGAGGCCAGAAGAGGGAGACATCACTGTGGATTGAGGGTGGCCAAGGAAGGGTTTCTGGAGGAGGTAGAGCTTGAGGTGGGCCATGAAGGATGAATAAGATCTGACCAGGCATATGGGCAAGGGGGAGGGGGGGGAAGGGGATTTCAGGCAGTGACAAAGAAATTGGGACAGAAAAGAAGTCAACAGCTCATCTGTATAAAGTAAACTCATATGCTAATTAGGAGATTATCCTCATATGCAGTTATAAGGAAATAGTTTATAATAAAGAGTTATAAGGGATTCCACAACCAGCCAGTCCCTCTAGCACCTACCTACCTCGGAAACTGGTCTAGGTTTGCTGAGAATCAAGTAACTTGAAGTAAAAATTTAAATCATTTTTAGAGATAGAAAGGATGTCAGATGACAGACTTGTAGAGATGGAAGGGTATCAAAATATCATAGTTTAGAATTGGAAAGGACCTCAGGGGCCATCTAGTTTAATCTCATTTTGTAGACGAATCATGTAACCTCTTTTCAGTGTCCTTGAAATGTATTTCTGTACTCAACTCTCCTCCCTCTCTCTTTCTCCACCTGTATTATTCCCTCCTTTGACCAGACCAAATAAGAGTGAGTTTCAAGTGTCAGCCACTCTTCTCACCCACTCCTTGTCTGCATAAATATTTATTCTTGCATCTTGATTGCTTGAGAGAGTTTTTCCTAACTTTCCTTTCCCTTCCCCCCAACCTACTATATTCCTCTTCCCTTCTTTCCATTCTTCTCTTAAGATCATCAAGGCATAAGACAATCACTCAGGCCTTGTCTAATTAGACTTCCTCTAAGAGCCCAGATGATAATGGGGTTCAGAGGGAATGTATGTATCATTTCCCCATATTTGAATATAAGCAATTTTTCCTTATGTAGTACCTTTTGATGGCTTATTCATGTTTACCTTTTTCTGTTTCTCTTAACTCCTGTGTTTGAACTTCAAAGATTCTTCGTAACTCTGGTCTTTTCATCAGGAATGCTTGTAAATACTTTATTTCATTGACAATTCATGTTTTCCCATTATACTTAGCTTTCTGGATAAGTTATTCTTGCTATAAGCCCATATCCTTTTCCTTCTGAAATATTGTATTCTGAGCTTTCAGCTGCTTTATGGTGTGATCCTGACTGTGGTTTCTATGTACGTGAATTCTTTCTTTCTGGCTGCTTGTAGTATTTTTTCTTTGACCTGAAAACTCTGGATTTGGGCTATAAAGTTCCTAAGAGTTTTCATTTTGGGGTTTCTTTCAGGAGCTGACCAATAGATTCTTTCAATTTCATTTTGCCCTCTAGTTCTAAAAGATTTGGGAAGTTTCTTTTAAGATTTTTTTTTTTGCAATATGATGTCTAGGCTCTTTTTTTTTTGTCATGGTGTGTAGGTAGGGTAATAATTCTTTTTTTCTTCTTGATCTGTTTTTCAAGTCAGGTGGGTTTATTTTTTTGGCTATGAAATATCTTACATTTTGTTCTACTTTTCACTCTTTTGACTTTGTTTTAATACTTCCTGTTAGCTCATAAAGCCATTGGCTTCTATTCAGTCCATTTTAATTTTCAGGGAGTTTGTCACTTGGGCAAGGTAAATAAGTGCCAAGTGGTTAATTCTGTTTGCAATTCTTCCTATAATACCCCTCATTTCTTTTCCAACATTTTCCTCTAGCTCTTTCATTTTATTTATAAAAACATTTAAAACTTTTTTTTTCCTAAAAAAACCTCTGGTTCATCTCTTCCAGGAATTCTAGTTGAATCTGGGCTCAAACTATATTTTTCTTTTACTCTTTTCTTGCATGTGTTTTGGAGTCATTCTCTTCTCTTAAGCACTATAACAGTTATTTTATTTTATTGTGCTCATTCTTCCAGCCTACTTCTTGATAGCAGATTTGACTTATGGCCTAGGCTCTGCTACACTTCTAGAGGGAAGGTCTGGGCTTTTTCTGTTGCTACTTTCTTGGTATATTGAGTATTGTATAATTCAAGGCTCTCAGGGACAACTCATGGGGACCTTATAGCTTTCAGTGCTCTCAGAGGAGTCTGATCCAGGGCAAAGTCTGATTGCTGTCACCCTTGTCTAAACTCTGCAAGCTCCTGACTTGAGTTTGGGTCTGAGCAAGAGTACATTGCAGCCAGATGGAAAGCTTTGCTCATTCAGTATCATGGAACTCCAGCTCCCACTTTGATCATTACTACTTTATAGGCTTCAGACTGGGCTAGAAACTGGAACTGAGACCCTATTCTTTGCCTGGGGTCTGGGCCACACCACTGCTACTTGCTTCTGAACTTTCTCTTCTCCTCACACTTTCTAGCACCTGCAACAGCTTCTTGCCTGGGAATCCCAGCCTGAGTCCAAGTTCTTCTTCTTGACTCTGCCCTACGTTTGTCATCCAGCCTGGATAGTGGGTGACAAATAACCCCTGTTCCTGTTGAGGTACCCTAGTATGGGTCTGGGGATGCCCAGATATGAGTCTAGAACCTCTTCTTGCCTGGCACACAGCCACTCCTTGGGCCTTCCCTGTGTTCTCTGTGTGGCATTCCTAGCCAGGCCCTGTCCCCACTGTCCACAGACTTCTCTGTGATGACCTGGGCTGGGGGAACAAATGACTCCTTGTGACTTTTTCTTGGATTTTCTTAACAGAATTTGGTCTGATACAAAATTTTCTAGATCTGTTTGGAGAAGTTTAGGGGGTCAGCTCTTTGTGCTGCTTCCTGATACTACATCAACTGATGGTACCTCTCATGATGTAGATTTGATGGACTTGGAACCTGAAGCTTAGAGTGGGAAGTGATTTGCCCAAAGCCACAGAGCAAATTAACGGAAGAGCTGGGTTCAGATCCTGTTCTTCTAACTCCTAGTACTATTTTCTTTCTAATGAGGCAAGGGACCTAAAAGAAGGGTTTTCTCTGTCAATGTGCTCTCGTGCCACACTCATATGTGTTCAAAATCACACACATGCACATTCATTCTCTGGCCTTCTTGGGAGTATGTTGGGTATCAGGAAGACAGGAAGCCCTTGGGCCTTCAGGTCTGGTCCCTGCCCAACTCAGGCATGGGAGGAGTGAGCTCCCTGACAGCTGTCACAAAAGGTATCAGGAAAAGCAGCAAAGATTAAAGCTCTCCCCCACCCCCACTGTTTCCTCCACAACTGATTTTCCTAAACAGATGCTACTGTTTACAAGACAATCTTACCGACAAGGAGACAGGAGGTCTCCAGAGATTCCTACCCCAGCCTGTCTGGAGCAAGAGATTAAGGTGGCAGCCAGCTACTCCTTGGTTTCTAGGAAACGGGTGTCCACATGGCATCAGCCCAAAGTTGCAGAGGGTTTGGAGCCTGAACTGACCTCTTACCTTTGGGAGACAGCAAGTGGGCATGGTGGCAGGGGGACAGTGTATGCTCCTACCCACCCCCTTGATCTCTGAAGGAAAGACTGGGAGCCAGACTCCCTCATTTAAATCTGCTCAAATTTGCTTTTCTAACAAGTCTTTATTTAGCACTTGCAACCTGTTTTCTACAATGGGAGGGAAACAAGCAAAGTAGTAGGGTGAAAAAACCCCTGAAATTGAAGTCAAATCCTGTATTTGTTCATTTCAGCTACCCCCCACTCATATTCCCCTCTTCTCACTTTCTGACTCTTCCCATTTTAGTGGCAGATTCCCTGAGGGCCGGATCTCAAGCTGACTCGGTTTTTTCTCCTGTTGGGGAATTCTCCTTTCACCATCATCAGTTCCAGCCCAAAGTGACTTCTGGGGGGGACAAATCTCAAATTTGTCACTACTTGTGTGACTTTGGATACATATTTAATGTCTCTGGGCCTCAATTCATTTATCTGTAAGATGACAGGGTTAGTCCTTGATCTCTAACTTCTCTCTCAGCTCCAGTTCCAATGATCTAAAGATACAAAAGACAAAGTCCCTTCCCTCAAGGAGGTCATAGACTAGGTGGGAAGACAAATCATATGCATCTGAAACAAGTCTAGAACAAGTCAGCATGAAGTCCTCAATTATGAGAGGCAGGATGGTAAGGTGTACTGCGTTCTAGTCAGAGGACATGGGTTTAAATCCTGGCTCGGACACTTACTGGGCAGCTAGGTGGCACAGTGGATACAGCATTGGGCCTAGAGTTCAAACATGGCCTCAGATATTTATTAGCTGTGTGACCCCAAGCAAGTCACATAATCCTATTTGCCTCAGTTCCTCACCTGTAAAATGAGCCAGAGAAGGAAATGGCAAGCCAGTCCAGTATCTCTGCCAAGAACAAAACAAAACAGAAAACAAAAAGGGTCATGAAGAATCAAACACAAGTGAATGACTAAACAACAAAACCAAAATTAATAAGGTCCCACGTTGGCTACTCTGCTGGCTACCACTACAGTCAGGACTGCCTATTACTACACAGGGGCACAATTGTTGGTTATGCTGTATGGGTTTGATGGACTGTTCCTTTAAATCTATATGAGTGACCGAGTGGGTGTTGGGATCTTGATTTTTCCCTTCACAGTTCCAGAAGATGACGGCAGCTGCGAGGTGAATGGGAGGACCTACCGTGATGGGGAGACCTTTCAGCCAAGTTGCAAGTTCCAATGCCACTGCTCAGATGGGGGGTTCACTTGCACTCCCCTTTGCAGCGAGGATGTGCGGCTGCCCAGCTGGGACTGTCCCCACCCTAAACGAGTTGATGTCCCCGGAAAGTGCTGCCAAGAATGGATCTGTGACCAGGCAGTCCAACCTGGCCCAGCAACAGGTAATGTATCAAAGCCAGGCCAGCCCTGGCCAAAACCAAGGGGCCAGCCAAGTCTAACAGCATCCCCTGGTGCCCACGTTCCACTTCCACACCACATTCCTTGCCCTCCACTTTCTCCTCCCCCCCAACTTTCCCAGTGTCTTGGCTCATACAGGAAGGTGTGGAGCAGTAACACCAAGGCTCCCTTCCTTTTGCTTTGTTATAGCTTCCACTGTGGTTTTATTAAGCACCTACAGTGTACAAAGCTTAGTGGCTAGGTGCTGGGAAAGAGAAAAACTTTAGATGATGATGGTGATGATGATGATGACTACAATAGTAAGAATTCTCAGCACATTAGGGTTTACAAAATACTTCCCCCACAGCAGTCTGTGATATGAGGATGAGAATACAAGTGTGACTTCTCCCAGTTTACAACTGATCATACCAAGACCCAAAATGGTCAAGTGATTTACATAATTGTAGGATTTAGAGTTGGAAAGGACTTAGAAATCGTTCAATTCTATTCCATTCAGTCCAACCCCAAACACCTTTCCTTTGCATAGCATGTGCCAGACACTGTGCTAGGTAGATATTCACAAAAATATAGATATTCCTGCCCTCAAGGAGCTTACATTCTTCTGGGGGATCACACATGTATACAGATAATTAATTACATAGTAATTTGAGGAAGGCTGTATGTGATGTCTGAGAAGGAAAAAGCTGTTACCTATAGGGTGGGGCAGTAAGAGAAAGGGAAAGAGGAGGATCAGGGAAAATTTCCAGATGGAAAATTAGCATTTGAATTGGGCTTTCAATGTTTCAATAAGCAGAGGGGAAAGGGAGACACTTCAGGCACAGGAGACAAGATCAGCAAAGATCATAGATTTATAGTTGGAAGAGACTATTAGAGGTCACATCCAAATCCCTCATTTTATAGATGAGGAAACTGAGGCTAGAGAGGTATGTACCTTGCCCAGGGTCACACAGCCAGTAAGTATCTGAGGTGAGATTTGAACTCAAGTCAACTGAACCACAAGTCTATCCATTGTACCATGTACACAGAGTTGGGAAAGAGTGGAACATGTGTGGAGGGGATGTCAACTCGTCTATTCTGACTGGAGTGTGGATTACACAGAGGGATATAGTGAAAATAAGGTTGAAAAGGCAGGGCTGATTTGGAAAGGCCTTGAATGTTAGATTAAGTTTGAATTTTACCTAGTGGGCCACAGGGAGCTAATGAAAGTTTCTGAGCAGGGGAGTAATAGAAAAAAATTAAAAAGATCTATGTGTAAGGAAGATATCTGGCATTATATGAAGGAAAGGTTGGAGGGGGAGTGACTGGAGAGGGGTGGGGGAGTCTTGTTCTGAAACCATTATGACAGACCAGGCAAAGGATGGTTCCATGGAGGAGAGAGGCAAGAGGCAAGAAGGCAGAGAATGAACTAGTGTAATTCTCTATAACTCCCCACAATCTTATACTCTCCTAAAAGTCTTGCCACATCCCTGTTTGGAACATAGAGGGACAGGAAGGGCCTGGTAGCAGAGCTGGGACAAAGCATTTGTGAGGCTTCATCAGGTATGAAAATTTCTCCACGTGTGTTACTGGTCATTGGAGGTGTTGAGCCTTTAGTATAATATGCTACAACACAAGCAATTTGACTTAATCCCAAATCAATCCCTACAGCCCACAGAGATGGAGATTGTTCTGGTGCTGTAGAGGCACATCCATATGTCTCTCATTGTGCTGGATGGTGCGCCCTAGCTGGCCCTCTATGCCCGGTCCTGGCTCTGACTGAGACTAAAGTTGAGTTTCTAAGAAATTGCTGATGCAATGTCTCATGCTTTCTTCCTGTTCAGTGCCCCGGTTCCTGGGACCTCCAGTACCATTGTCCCCTCGATTTGCCTGCCAGGAATGGAGCACATTGTGGGGCCCCTGTTCTGCCACCTGTGGGCTGGGTGTGGCCACTCGGGTGACCAATCAGAATCCACACTGCCGGCTGGAGATGCAGCATCGTCTATGCCTACTCAGGGCCTGTCCTCCTTTAAGAGGACCCTACCACAGTGTCATTGGTGCCTCTTAAGGGGAGGTGTTCCTGTCTATGCTTGTGGATAAAGTTTCTGGGGCAAAAGAGATACCAACTTGCTAGGCTTGGAGACTGACTGCCGTCATCTCCTACTGAAGCCTCCATCAGGCTGCTCTGACCTATTGCTCCAATACCTTCCTTTGAAGGAGACTGATCCCCTTCAAAGGAGGCGCTAATAAGGCTCATCTCTACCTACAGGCCTCTAGAATTCTAGATTTTTAGCTTCTCCCAGATATCCTAACCAGCCAAGACTCAGTACAGAGATGCAGACACAAGTCACCTTAGGATCACAGAGTTTAGGAAAGGGATCTTAGAGATCATTTAGTTCAGGAGTCCCTAACCTGGGATCATGGGATAGACATCAAAGGGTCTGTGAACTTAGATGGAAAAAATTGCTTATTTACTTTCACTAACATCTAAAATGTAGTGTTTCCCTCTACTAGGAATTTTTTTAAAAACACTGTTAATCTGAGAAATGGTTTACAGGCTTCATCAGACCACCAAAGGGATCTATGACACAAAAAAAGATTAAGAATTTCCAATCTAGTGCAACTCTTTCATTTTACAGAAGAGGAAACTGAGGTCTGTAACAAAGAGCTATTTAATTGATAGACTGTTCTGTTTTCTTTTACATTTATGTGTCACTTTATTTTTTGTGTTTCTTTTTTATTTTTAAAAATACTTAATTTTTCCCAATTACATGTAAAGAAAAATTTTAATATACATTTAACAAATTTTTTGAGTTCCAAATTCTTTTGCTCCTCTCCCTTTCCCCCTCCCTGAGACAACAAACAATTTGATATAGGTTGGTTATACATGTGCAATCACGCAAAACCATATTTCCATGTTAGTCATGTTGTAAAAGAAGACACAGACCAAAAAAAACAAAAACAAAAACCAAAACCAAAACCAAAAAAAAAAGTGAAGAATAGCATGCTTTGATCTGCATTCAGAGTCCATTAATTCTTTCTCTGGATATGGAAGCACTTTCCAACATGAGTCCTTTGGAATTGAATAGACTGTTCTTCTTAAAAATATATATATATAAACAACTTTAGTTTCCTATTTGTCCAAGACTGAACATGTGTACAAAGTCCCAGAATCCCCAAGCAAGAATAAGCCTCCATACATCCTCTACTGAGCATACCCTAGAAGACAATGGAGGATAGGGATGAATCTCAAGGTTCTCTGGGGAGTGCTAGCACTTTAAATAGGACAAGAACAGTGTGGAATTGAATCAGGTATCCATAACTCAGGGTTCCTGGCTCTGTATGTCTTTGGTACAGTCCCTTTTTCTTATGGACCCTCAGTTTCCCTCTGTAAAATGAGGAAACAAGATCAATAACCTCTAAGGTCCCCTCTAACTCCAGTAATCTACTTCTAATGTAGGTGGAGACATGGTTGGCAGTCCCAGAGAAGGCCCTTAGGAGGTCCAGGGTTCAATGTGCCAAGCCCGCACATCATGCTGGGCTCCCAAGGCTGCCATGAAAGTGACCTCTAGGATCCATAGCCCCACCGGGAGTCACGTACAATGCATGAAGAAAGCAGTGCCAATGGTGTTCCTGTCTTTTTACCCGTAGAGATATGCTTGTTCAGTGTATTTCTGAGTCTATTAAAGCACTTTTGTGGAAACTCCTGGTGTCTATGATGACCCTTGCCTTTGGTGTCCCGGGGGAAGAGGACACGAGGGATGGGGATAAATTTAAGGCAAATATAGAAGACTCCACATTCCCAGAAATCAAACTATGCCTGAGCAAAGTCACATACCAGGCCTTAAAGAATGTGAATAAGGATACTTCTGGTTAAATTTTGGTGGGAGATTGTGGGGTTTTTTTTAATGGGGGAAATACTGAAAATCTCAGGTCTTTCTCATACCAAGTCCAGCATATGCTATCCTCTATGCCACCTAGTTGCCTAACAATCTAAAGGCCCATGATGCCAAGATTCTAAGATGGCAGCATAAAGGGTTGCCAATCATATCATGCTGTGGAATGGAGGTGTCAAGTTGTACTGGCTAGAGTCAACTTTGGAGTCAGATCTGAGTTCAAGGTCCACCTCTGAACCCTCCTGGCTCTATGATTCTGAGCAAATCACTCAGCCTCTAAGTGTCCTGAGCAACTCAGACACTGTAAGGTTCGGACTTGTATTGATGGAGGAAGTTTCCTCATCTGGGAGTTGTCTATACCAATGCAATCATAGGTCCAGTCAAAAAAAAAAAAAAAGGAAGGAAGGAAGAAAAAATGAAAAGAAAGAAAAAAAAACAGAGGAGATGAATTATCTGGCAATAACAAGAGTGTGCCAAAGAGGTCAGCAGGTTTCCCCCTCCTCTTGGGATAACCTACACATACGACCAGCAGAAATTTCTGACATCTTGTTCATGCATTCTTTAAACATGTGGTAGAAAAATTGCTGGATTTAGTGTCAAGGGATTTAGGTTTAGGTCCTGGCTCAGCTACTTAATACCTGTATAACCTTAGACAAATCATTTCCATACCCAAAACTCTAGATAAATGAGGGGATTGGACTAGATGACCCAAGATGCCCTCTTCCGATCTCATTAATCGCCTGCCCTGAGCTATAAGCCCTCACATAATGATAGCTTCTATTTCTCAAATTTTTTGGTTTCAGGACTCCTTTACACACTTAAAAGTAATCAAGCACCCCTCAAAGAGCTTTTGTTTATGTGTTTTGTGTCTATCAATATTTACCATGTTAGAAATTGAAATATCTTAGTATTATGATGAAAATTAATTTGACCTTGAGAATTCCCTGAAAGGGTTTTGGGGATCATCAGGGATCCTGTACCTCACTTTGAGAATTGCTGCTCTGCTGTTTCAAGATTTCCAAAGCACTTTTCTTGTAACAACAGTTGGAGAAAAGGTGTATAGGGATTATTATCCCCATTTTACAGGATAGGAAATAGATTTTGAGAGAGTAAGTAACTTGCTCAAGGTCCCACAGTCAGTAACTGGCAGAGCCAGGATTGAATGTAGAGGCAGCATGAGAGCAGGAAGAATGCAGGGTTTTGGAGTCAGGCAACCTGGGTTTGAATCTGGCTCTGCCACTTAGTATCTTAGCCAAGTCACTTAACTGCTTTGGGCTTCAGTTTCCTCGTCTGTAAAATGAGGAGGCTGGACAGCTAGGTGGTGCCATAGTGCATAGAGTGCCGGGTCTGGAGTCAGGACTCATCTTCCTGAGTTCAAATTTGGCCTCAGACACTTACTAGCTGTATGATCCTAGACTTAACCCTGTTTGCCTCAGTTTCCTTATCTGTAGAATGAACTGGAGAAGGAAATGGCAAACCACTCCAGTATCTTTGCCAAGAAAACTCCAAATGGGGTCATGAAGAGTCAGACACAACTGAAACATGACTGAGCTGAAAAAAAATGAAGAAGTTAGATGTCTAAGGTCCCTTTCAGTTCTGTATCTGACTTATCAGCCCAAGTCTCCAGATTCCAAGTTCTGTGCTTGTACTATACCATAGTGCCCCATCAATGGCCTTTGCTAAGCATTAGAAGAGATTCAAAGATAAGTAAGATCCAGTCCCTGCCCTCAAGGAGCTTACAATCTAATAGGAAAACTGAATACGAACACATATAGGGAAAAGGACTAGACCCAAGATTTTGTTGGCATAGGGGCATCCCAGATGAGGAAACTCCCTCTACCAATGCAGGTCAACACCTTCTCTAAAATTTATAGTCATAGGTGTTGTCTAGAGCACTACAAGGTTGTAACTTGGGCTACATAGCCAGTATGAGTTAGAGGCAGGACCTGAAGTCAGGTATTCCTGGCTCCAAGGCCAGCTCTAACCATTCTGCCATGCTGCTTCACTGCACATACAACCAAATACAAAGTAGAATGTAACACATGCAGTAGAGGTATACAAAATCATTGGATCAAATGGGAGTTCAGTGGAAGACTGGCAGCCTAGGTTCCTCTTACTTAGGGTGTGGTGAGGGCTGGGGAGTTTTGTGGGGGAGGAGATTCGAACAAAGAAAATATATTTCTGGGCAGGCTTTTTCTTCTTGGCTTGGTGTGTTCTACATCCCAGTGGAAGAAGCCAACCCCTTCTCCTGAATACGACTAATCACCCCAGTTCCCATGAGGTTTCAGAAGGAGGACGCCCAGTTGAAATAAGAGTGAGGGTTACAGAATCAAGGGTAGTAAGCCTTGCCGAGAGTCAGCCTGGTGTAATGGTAAGAGTACTGCCTTGCGAATTAGGAAACTTGGGTTAAAGTCAGGGCACAGTAAATACTTGTCCTATGACCTTGGCTAAGCCGGAGGATCAGAGGGTTCCAAGCTGAAAGAGACTGCAGAACTCATCCGGTCAGCAACAATCATTTTGCAGAGAAGGATCTAAGTTTCAGGCCAGTGAGGAAACTTGCCCAAGGTCACACAGGAGGTAGGTGGAGTCTCAAAGTTGGAACGGATCTTGGAAGATATATGGTCCAACTTGTACCTGAACAGGAATCCCCTTTACAATATACCAGACAAGTAGTTATCCAGCCTTGACTCTAAGACTACAAGTGGAGAGGAGCCCATGACCATTGAAGGCAGCCATTCTACTTTGGGATAGCTTTAATTGCTGGGGATTTTTAAAAAATCTAACATCAAGCCTTACTTTTCTGTAATGTCAAATCATTCCTGCCAGTTCTGCCCTTTGAGGTTAAATAGAATTTGGTCACTGGTCCTCTGACTCCAAGTCACTGAATCGTTAGAACCTTAGTCTTTTCTTCTATAAAGTAGAGATACTAACACTCGTGACTAAGTGCTCTGCCTAGCCCAGGGGATGATTAAAGGTAGGCAATAGGGAGCCCTTAGTTGTGTGCTGCTAAATGCTTAATAACTAGCTATGAAATAAAAAGAGTATGAATGACACACTTAAATTTAATAGGCATTGTTAACACTTTCTCCATCACATTCTCAAGTTTAGACCAGGGGTCAGCAGGCTATGGCTGTGCTTTCAAATACTTTTAAATAAAGTGTAATTGTATTTTAAAATGTAAAAACTATTCTTACCTTGAGGGCCAAGCCACTGTCTACCCGGCATCTAGAAAACCCACAAAGGGATAAAATATGCCCTGATTATAGTGTTAGCTGATTTCCAACATATAAATGCTCAGACTAAAATCTTAACATTAAAGTCTCCTGAGCCAATTATTTCTCCTCAATCAAATGACAAGGTTTATTGTAACACCAATAGAAGCAGGCAGGCAGAGTTCCTAGTGAACCTGCCTCCTGAGTCAATTTGAGCTGCTTCCTTCATACCCTGGAGTCAATGAAATTCTTTGAGCACATGGAAAACATGAGCAAATCTGTGTATAAGAAAAACTCTTCTGGTAGTGCTATGAAGGATGGTTTGGGGGTGGAGGAGAGTTGGGAAGACCTACTGTAATAGTGCAGGTAATCCTTACTTGGGTAGTGGTAGTAGGAATAGAAATGATGGGATAGAAATGTAAAAGACTTACAGGCAATGACAAGTCAAATGTTAGACGTAGTAGAGTGAGTGACACAAGACAAAAATGGTGAAATCCAAAGCAGGGAAGATGAGTAGCTCAACTCTGGACATGAAGTGTTTGAGGAACTTGTAGGATGTTGGAGCTGTCCTCTATACAGCTGGAAATGCCATAGGTCTGATATTCAGAAGACAAGTGAGAACTAGAGATATAAATGGAATGGAATAGAAA